GGTTAGAAGTACGGGCAGGATTTGAGTCGATGATGAAGTTGATGTGAATGATGAAGTTGATGTGCATGATGAAGTTGATGTGAATGATGAAGTTGATGTGAATGATGATGATAATGGTGATGATGGAATTAGGTTAAAGGTGAGAAACATTTATTAGGTTGTGGAATTTCCTACCGTCGGATATTCGTTTAACAGAGAATGTGGATACCTTTAAGTCACATCTGCAAACTACATCTTAAGCCAGTTAATTATATTTGGCTTCTGTGTCTCTCTTGGCCTTATCCTTACTCTTACAAGGCGCCTTGAGACATTGGTGGAACGCGCCTTTCATGTAAATAACAAAAATGACATTGATGGTGATGACGGTGAAACGAGGCTTGCCCATGGCCACGTAAATAATCTCTTGTTGTTGAAGCTGCTCTCTCGCTGGTTCAGCAGTTGCACCGCTGGATTATTTTTTTTCCCCGCCTGAGGACGACCGCTTGTGTTGCGATCGAAACGTCGTGATATATTACTTTCTGTTTAATTTCTCTACCTACGTGACTTTACCGAAAGAACCAAAGAGTCCGAGGCTTAAGAGGTAGCGGCCATGCGGCTGCGAGTATCTTGGTAACGGCGTTGGATGGCGGCATCGGGGTGAAGGCAGCGAGGTAAGGAAGGCCACGCGTTTCGAGTGCCGCCGAGCGTCACATTCCAACCCTCATTTTCGCACAGACTTCTAAACACATTCCTCTCTCGCCCTGCCTCCCTCTCTCTCTCTCGGGGTGCGTGAGGCCGCCACAGCAGCAGCAGCAGGAGGAGGAGGAGGCGGCGGCGGCTTCTATAGACGAGAGCACAACGCGGCCGGCGCGGGGCCATTGTGCCCCTGGCGCCTGCGGCAGCCGAGGGCTTTTTTGTGCGAGAGAAGAGGAGGGGGGGGCGGAGGGGGCGGAGGGGATGGGAGGAGGGGGGAAGGAGGGGGGGAGGGGGAGCGGAGGGGGGGGGAGGGTCGCGCTCCTTTTTTCCCCCGAACAAGAATTTGTGGCGTTTTTTCTCTCCTCGCTCTTCTCAACTACCTCCTCCCTCCCCTCTCATCCCACCCCTCTCACCCCCACCCGACTCTACCCCCCACCCTCCACCAACCAACCAACACTGCCTCCATTCAACTCCATTTGCCGACTCTTGCAAGTGTGTACGGAGTGATGATTTGCGGTGATTATGAGGTAGTGATGATGATGATCATAGTTGTGGTGATGACAGAGTGAAGTGGAATATGATGATGACAGTGAAGGTAGTGATGATGAGGATTGATGATGGTGGTGGTGATGGTGGTGGTGGTAATGATGGTGGTGATGGTGGTGGTAATGATGGTGGTGGTGATAATGATGGTGGTGGTGATGGTGGTGGTGATAATGATGGTGGTGGTGATAATGATGGTGGTGGTGATGGTGGTGGTGGTGATGGTGGTGGTGATGGTGGTGGTAATGATGGTGGTGATGGTAATGTTGGCGGTGGTGGTGGTAATGATGGTGGTGGTAATGATGGTGGTGGTGATGGTAATGTTGGTGGTGGTGGTGGTAATGATGGTGGTGGTGATGGTAATGTTGGTGGTGGTGGTAATGATGGTGGTGGTGATGGTAATGTTGGTGGTGGTGGTAATGATGGTGGTGGTGATGGTGGTGATGGTGGTGGTGGTAATGATGGTGGTGGTGGTAATGATGGTGGTAATGATGGCGGTGGTAATTATGGTGGTGATAGTGGTGGTGGTGGTAATGATGGTGATGGTGGTGGTAATGATGGTGGTGATGGTAATGTTGGTGGTGGTGATGGTGGTGGTAATGATGGTGGTGGTAATGATGGTGGTGGTAATGATGGTGGTGGTGATGATGAGAGGTGATTGTGAAAATTCATGATTCTGTCTTGAAAGTGCTGATAATAGCGATGGTGATGATAGTCGTGATTGTGGCGAAGCTGGTGGTGGATGCCGATACGTATGCATGTTGCGGTGACGATGATGACGATGGTGATGCTGATTTATAACCATGATGACAGCGATTGTTCGTCGCTCTGATATGGATGTTGCTAGAGATGGATCTGCATATGATGATGATGCACGTTATGCTCTAGCTGCAGAGCTATATATATAGAACAATTGCCAAAAAAACCCTTCTAAATCCGAAATTGAAATCCCAGTAATGTAACAACAGCTGCCACCTTTCTATAAATGTGTAAACTATTCGCGCCGCTCCTTCGTGACCACATGAGACGCACACAATGTTGATGATGCCAACAAGTCCACCTCTGCTGCCTTTCACAACACAAGCATGCAAACTTTAGGCCAACGTTCGGCCAAATTTGGCCCATACTTTGTCGACACTGCCGGTGAATGAAGGCTTCGCCGCATCACCACGCTGGTCAGTGCGGGTTGATGGTAAGACCAGTTCAGATATTGCTCGCCACTGACGTGAGCCGTGGCCGGGAGGAGGGAATCGAACTCGGGATCCGCCAGGTTCACTGCGCAGTACAGCGCGCTAACCACTGGCCCACCGCTCCATTCTCGATCTCATGTTGTGAATACAAAACAGATATGTCACACTAACTAACGTAAGGCCAATTTGTCTCGCTGACTCAAGACAAACACGCAGAGTGTGTTTAAATCAAGTTTGGGGTGATGGTAGTTGTAGTGATGACAGTAAAGTTGATTATGATGATGAGCGCCAGTGACGGCAGTGGTGATGAAGATTGATGGTGGTAATGATGAGGATAATCATAGGGGCGATTGTGGGAATTCGTATGATTTTGTCTTGAAAGTGGCGATCATGGTGATGATGGTATCGTGAAGCTGGCGATTATGGTAGTAGTAGTGGCGGTGATTGTGGCGAAGCTGCTGGTGATGCTGATGAGGTTTCGCACTTCTTGGTGATCATCAGCAGTCACACATGCTTATTAACAACACTGAACAAATGCCGCTGGTTTGGCAGCTTGTTACTGCTCTGAGCAATACCGTCCACAGCGTCAGCGCAATGCAACTCAAGACAACACCTGGAGACATACTTGAGAAACACACACACCATCACACACCCCATCACACACCCCATCACACACACCATCACACACACCATCACCATCACACACACACATCAATCACACACACCATCACACACCACCACCACCATCACCATCACACACACCATCACCATCACACACACATCAATCACACACACCATCACACACCACCACCATTACACACCATCACACACCATCACACACACCATCACACACCACCACCATCACACACCATCACACACCATCACACACACACCACCATCACACACACCATCACACACACCATCACACACACCATTACCATCACACCACCACCACACACATCATCACACACACACCATGACCACACAGGTGTAACATATACACACACACACCATGACCACACATTTGTGACACACACACACCATGACCACACAGGTGTGACACACACACTATGATCACACAGGTGTGACGACACACACACACACACCATGACCACACAGGTGTGACATATACACACACCATGACCACACATTTGTGACACACACACACCATGACCACACAGGTGTGACACACACACATACCATGACCACACAGGTGTGACACACACACACCATGACCACACAGGTGTGACACACACACACCATGACCACACAGGTGTGACACACACACACCATGACCACACAGGTGTGACACACACACACCATGACCACACAGGTGTGACACACACACACACCATGACCACACAGGTGTGACACACACACACCATGACCACACAGGTGTGACACACACACACACCATGACCACAGGTGTGACACACACACACACCATGACCACAGGTGTGACACACACACACCATCACCACACAGGTGTGACACACACACACACCATGACCATACAGGTGTGACACACACACACCATAACCACACAGGTGTGACATACACACACACCATGACCACACAGGTGTGACATACACACACACCATGACCACACAGGTGTGACACACACACACACCATGACCACACAGTTGTGACACACACACACCATGACCACACAGGTGTGACACACACACCATGACCACACAGGTGTGACACACACACACCATGACCACACAGGTGTGACACACACACACACCATGACCACACAGGTGTGACACACACACCATGACCACACAGTTGTGACACACACACACACCATGACCACACAGTGACACACACACCATGACCACACAGGTGTGACACACACACACACCATGACCACACAGGTGTGACACACACACCATGACCACACAGTTGTGACACACACACACACCATGACCACACAGTGACACACACACCATGACCACACAGGTGTGACACACACACACACCATGACCACACAGTGACACACACACACACCATGACCACACAGGTGTGACACACACACACATACCATGACCACACAGGTGTGACACACACACCATGACCACACAGGTGTGACACACACACACACCATGACCACACAGTGACACACACACACACCATGACCACACAGGTGTGACACACACACACCATAACCACACAGGTGTGACACACACACCATGACCACAGTGACACACACACCATGACCACACAGTGACACACACACACACAGTGACACACACACCATGACCACACAGGTGTGACACACACACACCATGACCACACAGGTGTGACACACACACACCATAACCACACAGGTTTGACACACACACACCATGACCACAGGTGTGACACACACACACACACCATGACCACACGTGTGACACACACACCATGACCACAGGTGTGACACACACACACAGGTGTGACACACACACACCATGACCACAGGTGTGACACACACACACCATGACCACACGTGTGACACACACACCATGACCACAGGTGTGACACACACACACACAGGTGTGACACACACACACCATGACCACACAGGTGTGACACACACACACTTACCGACTGGAAGAAGAGAGAGAAGGCGACAATAGCGAGAATCAATCGACGTGAAGATGGTGAAGTCCTCATGGCTGCTGCTGCTTCCACGCTACGACGAAGTCTTCCTGCTGCCGCCGATGATGATGTCGATGATGATGTCGATGATCAAGTACGAGGAGGAGAGGTCCGTACGGACGATGTCTACTCAAGTCGAGACTCGTGGAGGCGCGCGAATTTCCCCACAACTCTCTCCTCTCTTCTCGCTGGCGACTTGAGGCCAAATGCTGCTGCTGATGATGATGATTCTATCGCTGCTGCTGCTGCTGATGATGATGATTCTATCGCTGCTGCTGCGGCTGCGGCTGATGATGATGCTGCTGCTGCTGCTTCGATCGCTCGTGTTGGATCCGGTTCTACCAGATCCGGGTGTTGGGTGCTTCCTGCTGCTGCTGCTCAAGAGAAAGACTGCGAAAGAAAGAAAGAAAATAATTAAACAACTTTCCCCCACCCCACTCCACCAACTCGGCGCGACACAGAAATAAGTTGCTCAGCAGCGCCCCGAGTCGCCTAGAGGCAGCGTCTCCCCCCCCCCGCCCCACTACTACTCCCTGCCGACTCAATGCACAAGACCCCGTGGGTTCGCGATCTTCCACCGCAGCGGGTCGCGGTTGAACCCTTGAAACTGCGATCCGCTGCGCAAAGCCGTGGACAGCGGGAGACGCGGGCGATGGCTGATGGCGCGCATAATGGGAAATTAGAAATACATCAACACGTGTCCTGTAGGCGGTGGTGCGACTCTGCGGTCATCCAGAACAGAGGCCGTAACAACGTCGGAACGATGCCAATGCCACGATGCACAACTACGAAGGAGACATCGCGACGACGATGATGCTGATGATGATGATGCTGATGATGCACCACTCCGCTACTCGTGACGCGGTGGTCTGCTGGCTTGCTAACCGTCTCAATGTGACATTGTAGTCTTTGCTCTGCGTCGACATCATCAGCCGCCGTACGGCACAGAAGAAGACAGAGAAGAGTCACCCTCCCTGCCACTCGGCACGGTCAAGCAGCAGCAGAAACAGCCTCCGCCATCAAATCTCCAACCCCACATTGCCTCCCATCGCTCTGAGCCTCTCTGTTGACGCGGTGATAAAGAAGGGCCATTGCCCGAAACGTCGCCTGTTGCGTATATTTCATTTTTTTAATTTTAAAGCCACGGTGTTTTATTGACGAATGCTTTGAGATTTGTTGTTAATTGTACTGAAGTTGTGCGTCACTGACAACGCAGCAGCAGTCACCGATATTGACGCAGTTTAGTTCGGGTGTCAAGTTGAGTTTGTTTGAGGTTGAGAACTCCAGAGACCAGGATATCATCGAGTCTCAATTGCCAGGGGTGGCCTGGGTCACTAAATTGACATTTGAACGTCTGTGGAAAAAAGAGCTTTATAGCTCATCGGATTCCTCCGGTGTAAAAAAACGTATTCTGATTCTGATACAAACAAATAATGTAACGTAGGGCAGTGAAGCAATACTTTATCGTCGTGATAATCGTCTATACAATCGATTACCCTCGCGATTATCGCTTCGATTACTCGACTTAAGCGATCAACCCGAGAATTATGATCATCATTATCAGCCATGGTCAATCTACTCCTGGGTGAATGCCTCTGTAGGTCGCCTCGACGTCTGACACTCCTGCGATGTGCCGATCAACGGGGCCACCCACTGCGCGAGCGGAATTCATCGCTCCATCTCCTCCACAGCTGATTCCTCTCGAGCCCGTTCCGTTCCTTGGCTTCGACTCCTTCACCAGCCTTCACCACGAGCCATCATCATCAGCCCTTCTCTTCATCACAACGTCCCCCACTCAAATCGAACTTCTCACATCTATAAACCAGCGCACGTTATCCAATCGGCGTTCCTCTTTAACGCTATATTGTAATTCTCAACCTACAATAAAGACGGTAACTGTTAAACAAGTTTCTGTCTGAATCATTATTTGGAAAACAAAGATTTACAATCCACTGATGGATCAACGCCCCCCCCCCCCAAACGCCATGTAGATCATGCTTGGTTTGTTTGACCATATTTCACCACCCTGGCCGGTGTAGATTTGTGAAGTGGTGTAGATACTAACTCGCTACTGCCGTGGCGCAGAATCGAACTCAGACGGCCGACTTCACGGGCTGCGGAGTACGCCATCTGTACCTGATGACAGTGTTCACATTTGTTCAGAGTACACGGAGTAAGCGCGCCCTTGACTCACAGAGGAGATGGAGAGATATCGGCTCGTACACACGTGCTGAATAGAGTGTTCCAACCGCAGTAGATTTCCCTGATTGTCCTCCAACCCGAGTTCGAGTCCGACACCCGGCCACCGTCAGTGACGAATATCTGAACCGGTGCCCGGCCTTCCTTCCCATGGGGTCGACTCAGCCTTAAATGATGACTGCACCCGAATGGTGCGGTGTTGTTAAAGAAAAACATCAGCACTGTGGAGAGACAAAGGCGGCCCGGCCGTTGCGCTGCCCACCCACCCCCTCGTGTGCCATCGTTTGCCTGCACGCCCTTCACAGGTGGCCGCTTACTCGCTGACAGCACTTGCCCCAACAGTTCGTTAAGGCTACACGGTGGTGGGGGGGCTTCTTTGTCTTTGTTATAGTGAGACGAGGCGAAGGCGCCTGCATCCGGCAGTGGAAGTTGTGGAACGCCGCCGCACAGGAATCTCTAAACGTGTGCAGGAAAGCGTCATGACATCTTGGGGGATTCATGCCTTCTTTGATTGTTCCTGTAACGCGATGGGGTTTATTGTGCGGTTTTTTATGACTACGCGAATGACATTGTAATTACACTTCATTGCTTTTATTACGACTTCTTTATGCACGTCTCTTGTGTGTTTATATTACTAGCAAAAATCTGATGCCATCAAACTGGTATATACTCTGAAACGGCTTCCGATCAGTTATTAAACGATAATAGTCCCGAGTCAGAAGCAAGGACCTTCAAAGATACGATCATAAATACCGAATAGCATTCATTTAAAACGCCGCTCCAGAAAGTAAGACGCACCCAACACTTGTGCACGGTGTCAATAAAGTTATACAAACGTGTTCTCACACACACACACAGCTACCGGATTATAAGACGCACCTCAAAACGTCTGTTTAAAAATCCAGGGGCTAAAGTGCGTCTTGTAATTCCGGGGAATGCATCACAGTAATGCGTAAATAAATTGCAGCCAATCTCAATCCACTGCTGGACGAAGGTCTCGCCGCCCCGTGTCGGTCACTGTGAGTGTTTGACCACACTTCATCCGATGATGCGAGCCGCGAATTGGGTGCTCGAAATCGAACCGAGGCCGGGTATAGATCGCGCGGCGCGCTAACCGCAGCGCCACCGCTCCGCACCAACAAAGGTTGTCCTATTCGCTTCGTGTGTGGCTCGATCTGAAAGCTGTAATGACCATTCCTCTGTTAACATGCACACAGGCACGCGCACGCGGGGCGTTCATACATTTAAAGTTCAATTGTTAATGCAAGCGCCAGGATATATCAACAGATTTAATGTTGGGAGCAAATGTGTAATTTGTTACGATGCACTTGCGCGCGTATGTTAATCATTAACATGGCTGTAGCTCAGGAGAGCCGCGTTCCCATTTGTCACATTCCATCGAGTGTAGGGCTATGTCTCTCTCTCTGTGTGTCTCGGTGTCTGGGTCTGTGCGCGTGTGCGTGTGTACGTCTCTGTGTCTGTCCCCTGTACGTGTCTGGTGGTGTGTGTGGTAGTGTGTGTGTGGTGGTGTGTGTGTGTGTGGTGGTGTGTGTGTGTGTGGTGGTGTGTGTGTGTGTGTGGTGGTGTGTGTGTGGTGGTGTGTGTGTGGTGGTGTGTGTGTGGTGGAGTGTGTGTGTGTGGTGGTGTAGTGGATAGCGCTCTGCGCTACGAACCCGGCGACCCGAGTTCGATTCCCGCTCACGGCCAACACCAGTAGTGACGATTATCTGGACCGGTCCTGGGCCTCCCCTAGGTCGACTCAGCCTCAAATTACTACCTGGTGCGGTTTGTAAACGTCGCAACCGGGGAAACAAAGGCGGTCGGGCGTGGTGCCGGTCACCCTACCCGCGAGCGTGCTATGCCGGCCTTCATAGGTGCTCGCGGACAGCACTTGCCCAAACAGTATAAGCCTATAGGGGGATCTTTGTCGCGCTGTGTCCCTCTGTAATTGTCACTCTCAGTGTCTGCCTGTGTATACCTCTCCGTGTCTCTCCATATGCGTGTCTCTCCATATGCGTGTGTCTCTATCTCTCTCCGTTATGTATGGATGCATGCAATACGTTATTTGGACTTAAAAATCTCCGGGCCAACAGCCGCGTTAACGTCCAGCGAGACAGACCACACGCGCTATAACATGTGCAGCATAGCAGCGTATACGAAACACCTGTCCCAAAATACGACGTCTCTATTCATAGCCGCGGCGTCGTGAGCACGTGCTGCACCTATAGAGGAATGTCCGATTGCCTTTGGGGCCAGCGTGCAACGTGTCGCTTGGGCCCGCTCAGCTCACACAATCACGGTTCGAGTCCGGCTACGGCAAGCGGCCCCTTCTGGGGGGGCGCGAGACGTGGGCAGATTTTGTTGTTGTCGATGGTTAATAATCGTAAGTTGAGTTTATTTAGTTCAGTTTATTTTCAGTTTATTTTGGTATAGCCCTTTGAGCCATTCGGCTCTTGAATCGGGTGCAACCACAACAAACAAAAAAAACAATAACACGAACAAGAAAACATCTTAAAGTGACTATGTGTGACTGTGCAAACAGAAAATCCATGGGAAAAAAAACAGCAAAAAGATTCCTGAAAAAAGCACCGTACACCAACGCTGTGTGCGAAAAATCCCAGTGGGATGCAAGTCAAACAACAACAACAACCACAAAAACATAGATTAAGGCCGTCAGTCTAACCTACTTCGTCTCATTAAGCCCCTGTGTATGTATTAGCATTGCACATTGTTTTTGTAGCGATTGAGAACCCGAGGGGTGCACGGCTTCCGTCAAGGTGAAGAACCGCTGCTGGCTATCAAACCACGTTGCTCGCGCGGTTTGTTGCTGGTCGTTTGACTGCGGTCTCTCACAATAGCCGCACGTGACCGCATTGTCCCGAGTGACGTTTCATGTCCCGGCAAGACGCGAAGATTCTCGCCCCCCCCCCCCCCCCAGGACAGCTCCATTAACAAAGGGGACGTCCCGGGAAAACCGGGACAGGGTTCTTAAGTTCCAAGCTTGTTGTTGTTGAACCAGGTGAGAAGTCTAAAGAGACCAGGATAGAGTCCGTATTTGCAAGAGTGACCTGGGGCATGAGTCTGCCAGTGGGGGGGGGGGGGGGTGATTGCTGTGTAGAAAGTCGTCCCATTGAGTTATTTGCGGGATAATTGTCTCATTTGAATTTTTTTGAAATTTGGCAAAAGATGGCAACTCTACCACCAGTCGGAGAATTTCTACGGGGCAGTGGAGTGTGAAACTG